AGAGTTTTGCCATTGTCATAATTATTATATTTATCCAGTCAGATAATTAGAAGATAGCAGTGAGCTGTTGGATAAGAATGCCTATCCTAACAATGCCAATGGCTGTCTTATACTACGTTTCTTCTAAATTTTGACACAATGACAGTTTGTCTCATTGAGTAACATTGCATGACATTTAAACCTTGGTCTGGGCTTGCTTGAATGTATGAAATCTTGAAATGATGTACTCATTTTGCCCCTTAAAACCTCTCCCATATGAGGGATTTGACATATGGCTCGTAACACCATCCAAACAAACAACATTCAAGAAATGTTACATCCATCTGCATTGTGGGGAGACGGGTAGGACTGTCATCTCGAGATTGCAAAAATCCTGAAGAACACTAGATAGTGGCAAAAAAGAACTACAGAACACCCAAGCTCTTTGCTGCCATCTGATATTCATCTAAACTTTTACACTCCATTTGGAGTAGCCTGAAATAATCATAATAATGCACAGACTTACAAACAACGGAATGACAAAGTAGCAACAATGGTGCATTGGAATATCTGCAAGAAATACCCTTTGCCTGCAAGCAAGAACTGGCAGGACCACAAAACAGACAAAGTAATAAAAATGGAAGAAACTGAAGTGCTCTGGGATGTTAGCAAAGTAGCAACAATGGTGCATTGGAATATCTGCAAGAAATACCCTTTGCCTGCAAGCAAGAACTGGCAGGACCACAAAACAGACAAAGTAATAAAAATGGAAGAAACTGAAGTGCTCTGGGATGTTAGAATTCAAACAGACAGGCACCTGCCACACAACACCCCAGACTTAACAACTGTTGATAAGAAAGATAAAAAAAAGTCTATACAATGAATGCTGCAATACCTGGAGACAGCAGAATAGAAGAAAAACTTACCTGCTCTGACGATACCTTGAACACCATCAAACAACAACCTTTGCCTATCCCAGATCCTTGGGAAGGACTCAGTAGGTGGATAAAAATGCCAGATCCAGTCTAAACATCTGGCTGACTGTGTGACCAACAACAATAATAATAAAATATTAAATTGATATGCCACCCGACTCCCAGTGACTCTGGGTGGTTTACAATTCTTAAAATCATTTAAGAACAAAAATCAAGACATAAACACCCACCCAGCCACCCACCCACACGGACAGAGCACAAGACAGAACAACAATGGCAAAGAAAACAAACCTGGTGGGGAGCAAAACAGAAGAGAGGGGCATCAGTCATCCTCACCAAAGGCCTGGGTGAAGAGCCAGGTCTTTAAGGCTCTTCAAAATAGCAGTAGGGTGGGCTCCATTTGAATTTTGGAGGGAACTCATTCCAGAGGGCAGGCACTGCTCCAGAGAAGGTGCACTTCTGGGGTCCCAACAGATGGCATTGCTTAATTCAGTGTTGTC